ATGCAGCAGGAAATACTCAAGATGAGCCTGGAACATCTTATAGTGCCAGAAAAATAAGGAAATGCTAACACACACACACACACGCACATACACACACGCTATGAGAGTATGTCAGAGAGACACAGGAGCTAACTGAAAGAGAATCAAATGGTCAAACCTGGAACAATTTGAGCAACGAAATAAACAACGTAGTATTGGATTATAACCTATAGTATAAAATAAATATCCACTAGTCCATACTGATAAAAAGAAAGTGACTGAATAAATAAACAAATGGGAGAGAACAGGCAGCTTTCCTGTACCGAAGATTTCCAAATAATTCATATAGATATTACCCTCTCAAGGAGATGAAGCAAAACTCTCCACTTCTTAAGTTTGGACTGTGCGGTGACTTCCTGCCAAAGAGCACAGTATGGGAAGGTGGGGGGAAGTGTGACTTTACACTGAAGAAATCTGATAAACACTGTGTCAGCCAGGTGATGATCAAGGTTAACATCAATAGTGACAAGGCGTGCTGATAGTATGTCCCCTTGACATCATGTGATGAGAAAGGCACTTCACCTCTGTAGTTCTTATTGTCAACCTCATTCAAAAGAGTGTGAAAGCCACCGACCGAGGACACATTTAAGAGCAGACTCGCTAGGTTGAGACCTAGCGAACGGACATGTTCGACCTGCCTATGGCGATTGTCAAGTGGCTCTCTGTGACCATGACCGTGGTATGGCAACTAAATTCTGTTTCCTGTTTCTTCTTCCGGGGCACAAGAGAAAATACACTTCTCCATCCCCGAGCAATGAGGTGGGACCACGTGACTGGTTCTGGATAATGAAAAGTAAGCGGAAGCCACATGTGTCACTTGCAGACTGAGGCAATGAGAATCTTTCCTTAGCGGTGGCGACATAGAGACCTTCAGGAGAGATGAAACAGTGGAGATCACTGAGTCACCACTTAGAGGACAGCTGTCCTATGGTAGACGTGGTGTAAGTGAGAAATTGTGTGTTAACTGAGATTCTTTTTTGCAGCTGTTACACTCACTAGAATGATTGTATCAATAAATACTCTCACTGGCATTGGAGAAGAATATTTATCTCATATTTATTTATTCATTTGAGAAATATTTATCAAGCACCTACTTTGTTCCTGGCTCCATTTTAGGCACCGGAAATACAACAGTGAACCAAAAAGAAAGATCAGACCTCCAATCAAACTATAAATAGAATAAATAAGAACATTATAGCATATGTGAGATGGTGGGTACTCCTATGAAAAGCAATAAAAGCCAGATAAAGGGGATTGGGAGTGCGGGGTTACAACTGTAAATGGGGTGTCGTGGTAGGCCTTCACAGAGGACGTGTCATTTGAACAAAGACTTGAAGTCGAGGAGGGGAAAACCCACAGGACTGTGAGAGAGAAGGCACGTGGAGAAGAGAAAATAAGACAAAGGTGCCAAGGTAGGAGCCAAGTGCAAGTGTTCTAGGAACAGCAAGGAGGCCAGTGTGGCTGGGACACAGAGAGCGAGGGGAAGGGCGTAGGGAGGTGAGGTCAGAGAAATAACAGGGTCACCACATTGCGGTATAGTTCTAGCAACAGATAATATCACCGGCCTCGGCATTTGTCCAGTCGATACATATCAAATGATGTGTTGTGGTCATTTTAATTTGAACTTCCTGATTATAATGGGGTTGAGCATTAGTTTACTGATCATTCTGAAAGCTTGGAAGGTTTGAAGCCACTTCCAAGACTTTTGCCTGGCTGTAGCATAGGACAACCTGAGGCCTAGAAGTCCAGGAAGTCCCCTGTAAGGTCACTAAGATCCTTTTCCAACCCTGGAAAAAACGGTGCTTTAAATTGAGTGTCACCGGATTTAGCAATTAGAAAATACAGGGCTTCAGTTGAATTTGAATCTTAGATAAACAACAAAAATCGATTTTTTTTTTATAGATATTTTAGTATAAATATGTCCCATGCAACTTTTGCTCAAAAATGTTCCATTGAGCAAAAGAGGCCAAAAACAAAAATAAAAATACATGCTATGTGATTCCATTTCTATAAAACTCTAGAACAGGCAAAACGAACCTCTAATGACGGAAGCCAAAACAGCGGTCGCTTGAAGGGGACAGGAATTGACCGGAAAGGGCCACGAGGAAGCTAACTTTGGGGTGATGGAAGTGTCTTAGAGCCTGTCTTGGGTGGTGGTTACACAGTCTTATGCGATTGTCAAACTCATCGAACTGAATGCTTAAGATCTGTGGCATCTTATTGAATGTAAATAAGCTATAGATGCAAAAAAAAAAAAAAAAAAAGGTTTACACAGCTGACTCTGAACCAGACACATGGAGGTAGGACGTGCTCATCAATTTATGCCTGAACCACATGTCCCTTCACTGAAGTGCCTGCGAAAGTCATCTTCCGCCAAAGCAAGGGCGGTAACCAAAAAGAAGCAGAACATGCCTGCGAAAGTCATCTTCCGCCAAAGCAAGGGCGGTAATCAAAAAGAAGCAGAGATGCAGGGCAAGTACATGTTCGGCTGCTATGACAAAGTGACCCAAAACAACAGTGGCTTAAGCAATGTAGAAGTTTACTTTTCTCTTAAATAAAAGTTTGACAATGGGGACGGAAAGGTGAGCTCTGCTCCAGGAAATCATCAAGGTCCCAAGAGAGTGTGCTCACTGCCTGTCTCTCATCTAATGCCCACAATGGCTGCTCCAGTGGGCAAGATGAGAAGGAGGTCATATTTCCACCCTTTAAGGCCATGCCCAGAAGTTGCATCCATCATCTCTGCTCACATCCGTTTTGGCCAGAATTCAATCAGATGGCCACCCCTGACTGCAAGGAAGGTTGGGAAATGTAGTTTTTATTCAGAGTGGCGATGTACCCAGTTAAAGTCTGTTACTCTGGAAGACAGGGAGATGAATAATGGAAAACAATCTCTGCCACTGGTAGCGTTGTGGTGTTTGAGAGCGTGGACTTTTCGGTCAAACTGCCTGGGTTCAAATCCTGATTCTATATCCTACTTGAAGGGGACCAAGCTACTTCATTTCTTTGTTCTTAGTTAAGCCCTCCTACCTCTCTGGTCTCATCTAATTCCAGTGGCAATAAAACATTGTCAACAGGTGGACGATGGAAGGAATGAGCCTGTAAGGAGGTTGTGAGAATTTAAAAAGCTAACACACACCAAGTGCTTGGAACACAGGAAGAGCTCAAAGGCATTAGTAGTTGTATATTTATTTCGCAGCCTTAAGTAATTCAGAAGATCTGCCTGGTGAAATTGAGAGTCAAAAAAAGAGAAGCGGGGGATAGAACAGGAGCCTGCCTTCTTTTTGCATATCTGCTTATTTTTCTGGGTCCGCGGCTTTCCAATTCAGGGCCAGTGCGGATGACGCAGACAAAGTTTAGCCCAGCGCATATCCATCAGGAATTCTTTGGTTGAAAGTGGCATAAATTCAACTCAGACTAGCTTGGGTTGAAAGGAAAATTTTAATGGATCACATCATAAGAATTATGGCATGATGGGGTTCCGCTGGCCTCAAGAGTACTGGAACTGGGGAAGTCAATGCCCATAGGACTCTCATGGCATGCTTTTCTTCTCTCGGTGTGTTTTGTACTCCCCACCCGAGAGTGGGAAATTGGCCACAGACAGCTCCGGACCTATTCTTTCACAGCCTCCCCCACTCAAAAGGAAAAGGTGTCCCGCCCCCAAACTCCAGATCCAAAAACTCAGGGAAAGGCTCTCATTAGCTCCGCCTACATTCTGTTCCGGGTGGGACATGACTGGCCCAGCTTGACTCACTTGCCCAACCCTCAACCAATCGCGGTGAGGTGGGGAGGGGGCGCATAAGCGAATGGCGGCTCCTATTCTAAACAAGCGGGGGTGGGGGTGGGGGTGGGTTCGAGCGCCAGCAAACGCATTGTCTCGGCTAACTCCTTAATTATTTTTCCTCCTATGGGTGGAACCTTGAACAAGGTATGCAAGAGTCAGGTGGTTCTAGGAGATGACCAGATGACAGTTGGGAAGTATGGTCTCCCCAGATCACCTGAGCGCGAGTCCCTGCATACAGCAGGTGCTCAATTAATGCTTATTGCATGAACGACTAAATTAATGCTGTTTCCAGAGGCTGTCCTGGAACCGCCCCAATTTTATAGACCCTGGGCTGATCAGGAGTGAAGTGGTGGACACGGGTCCTGCACACCCGTGCAGTGCGTCTCAGGGCGCAGACATCTGCCCGGGGGGTCGGAACCGTTAGGCGGCAGACAAAACCTCGAAGCCCCCGCCACCACCTGGAGCCCAGTTGGGGGCGGGGCTTCCAGACCCCAGCATTTTGGATTGCACCATTTTCTCTCTGTTAGAGGGGAGATCAAAGAAAGTCCTTCCGCACCATCCGCCAGCCCTTCACCACTCCCCGGCCACGAAGACGATGCATTTGCTTCTCTAGCAGCCACACAGACCCCGCCCTCACTTCGTTCCGCCTCACGGCTCCACGTGGCCACACACTTCGGGCTTCCCCACCAGCACCACGCATGGCTCGCCCCAGTTTGACGCATTGCAGGGAAAGCCGGGCCAATCGACGCCGCGCTCTCATTTCCGCCAGGGCTCGGGCCCAATCACGGCGCGGCTCTCACAGGGACGCGTCACGCGCCGCCGAGCGTGCCCCTCCGCCGGGAGGGAAGTGGTGCGAAGGGGGCGGGGCGACGGAAAGTAG